GGCCTGCCGGTAGGAATTGCTTGCTGAGAGCTTTCGGCCAGCGGAGTAATCTCGTTAAGGAGAGGAGGGGGGCGGGAAAAAAAAAAAAAAGGAAAATCAGTTAAACTAGTTATCATGCATGATGGATGGGCAACAAGTCCTGTGTGGAGGCGAGGTGTTCAAACTTGCGCTGGAGATGAGATTGTTCGCTCCCAAAAGTAGTTCGAAATCCGCGTTTAAGAAGCACAGGATTTTGCTAGGCATTGCCCGAATGTATTAATGGTCTTTCTACCGAGCGTAGAATAACTCATTTCTTATTCTGTAATGATATACGTTTTCTTTTTTTGGCAGCAGGAACGCTGACCTAACAGTTCTTAACTGACAGTGTAAACTTCTTATTTTAAGGAAAAGTCCCTGTTTTCTAATAACGTGAACAGCAGTTCTGGAGGATAGCTGGGGTCTGTGGTAATCTGCTCTGACATCGAGGGCATGATTTCAGAGGCTGCAGAATATTGACATACATTTTTCTATGCAGAGTTGGAAATTATGATCATTTCTGTAAAGCAAAGAAATTATATCTTGTTTCCTGCTAAGCAATATATATACATATTATTAGAAAAAAAGGCTCTATGGATGAAATTGCAATTTTAAGAACTGTTTGTTCACTTTCCCATCAAGGAGGAAAGAAGCAGAGGGGGTTGAGCACATACTCACTGGTTGCAGGCTTTACTGCCAGTGACTTTTGTGTAGAAAATACCTTGCGTCCTTTAGAGTCGCGCACCGATCAGTAGCTGGAGCTTAACGTTATCTGGTTTTTGTACTACCCTTTTGGCAGATTATACAGATTTTGGCCCAGTTGCAAGGTAAAGATTACTTTCTCGAAAGTGTTCTCCTCAAAGGTGACTTTGGGCTAAGTTTCTCAAAGTTCTGCCAAGGGGGAAAAGCTGCCTTGGCTTATTCCTGGAGTTCTGGTTGCTCAGCGAGACCGATCCTTTACAGGAATACGTTCTGTTTGATTTTCTGCTTGCCAGGCCTGGTATTAAGTCACCCTGCGCGTTAGAGGCGGTTGTAGTTGAGGCGAAGCTGATAGTGAAGTCCCTCCCCTCCTCGCCGCTGGTGGAAGCGCGGCGAGGCCGGAGCTGGCGCAGCAGCGAGCAGCAG